TCTTGTGTTGTGTCTCGTACGGTGCATTCTATTTAATTCATCGAAAACTAAACAGTTGTTTTATCCTGGTATAGGACTTTTTGATAGTGTCTATTCAAAACCCTCCCACAATATCTTCAGATGAGGCTATGAGTGTTGAGCATTCAGACCAGTGAGATTGCACTCAATGATTTACATTTTTAGTTTCACTCGATTCATCATTATTCGGAACCATCATTTATAGCTCTTTATGATTAATCATTTCACACCCAATGTGGTTGTGCTCCACTAGTAATTTTGATAGTTGAATTCATGGGTCAATATAAGCTAGACCGTCATTGGAAACCTGGAAGCACTGGACGGACATTTCGTCCTAGTATGGGACTTCTCAGCAGTATGCAACTATTAAAATTATTGCAATCTCCACAAACTCTCATAGTAACAATAATCATCATGTGCTCACTAGTGACTAGCTTAAAGAAAGATTTCCTGGATTTTTGGTGAAACGCCATGACCAGTGGAGTTCAATCCGTGTCGGATGAGACCGTTATCCACTTCAGACAGTGGACGAAGGGTTGCACAAGATCAAGGATTAATTGAAATTAGACATTAACTCTGTTGGATGGCAGATCAGTGGTCTTAGGGTTAAGCGTTGGTGTGTGAGACAGATCTTGAATTGGAGTTCCTCGTGAGGGATCGTGGATACGTACTAATGGGGAGTCCTATACTAAGACGAAACGGTCTTCCAGTGCTTCCAGGTTCCCAATGATGGTCTAGCTTATATAGACTCATGAATTCAACTATCAAAATTACTACAATCACAAATCCCCATTTTGATAACTTTATAGTAGCTAAGGTAAGACATAAAAAGTTCGAAGTCGTTTACCTGTTGCTAATTTACAATAGTTTTGAAATGTTCTCACTATGTTCTCCACCATGTATATCCTTACTGTTAAACATCGTCTAACTAATAATGGACAAAGCATCAATAGTTCATAATTATCAATAAACGAACAACTTAAAAACTATTGAGATTCTCCAAAGTCATAACCGATAGTAGGCTTAGACTGTATTTATATGTTTTAAAGGATACTATGAACAATGCATTGATTAATTATATCACAAAATACGTTTTGGAGAAAATAACGAAGGAGTGATATTCGTATAGAACTCGTAACATTTACATAGGATTAAAACAAAAATGTATTTAATTTCGTCATGGTGTGGTGTGTGCTACTTATATTAACATAAGTGGTATTTGATGTTAGTCGTGAATAGAAGGTCTGGCAGCAGAGAGACAAGAGGATCGAACAGTAAAGAATAGGAACATAATGCAATTTGTATGAAAAAGCAAGAACAATAAAGTCTGAGTCATTTTGAGACAATTGGTGGACATTTTACGAATTAAACATTCACTTTATAATTGTTAGATTTTATTAACAAGTCCTGTAATTTTGTGTTAAATACATTCGATTGTCCCCACTGGTGTTCTTGTTCACTACAATGGTATGTTGCTGGAATGTTTCTTCTAACTCGTCTAGAAATATAATAAACATACTTTATAGCAGAAAAAGTGAGGTAATATTCTACGTTATTTCTCATATTTTGGGTTATTTGTAGAAATTAGTTCCTAAAGGATTGATATCAGAAAATCTGTGGAAAACATGAAATACCGGTCAAATATTTCGTAACAGTTTTTGAATTCTCAGAATAGTATATCAACAACCATACCAGGAATTGAACTAGTGACAATCTAATCTTTCTCGCATACAAAATGGGTAAGAAAAAATTGTGGCGTTTTTAGTTGAGTTGGTTATTAATAATCTTCAGTTGAAAGATGCTAGAATCACCTTTCATTGATCAAAACGACGTCATTAACTATTGTTCCATATTTTGTGTTGATAGAACAAGTTCGAATGTATAAAATCTACTCATCTGTAGAAATGCTCGAAGTATAAGAGTGATAAGATAAGTATATCACTGAGTGAATGATTAGTTCAAGCAGAATATATTTGATTAGTTTATGTGCATACTAGCCGTATATGTATTTTGAAAATTCTATCATTAGAGAATGATTAAATAATGCCAAGTAACTACAGTGAAGTTTAGTATTGTACGGACATCCATGATTAAACATCTGAGTCCTATGTAGAATGATTTAGCCTTAGTATTACCAGTTTGGCTGTTATTGAATTAATCTTTATCATTGTAAATTATCTTTCTGTAAACCTTATAGCCTAACATTAATAATATTCATGTTAAAAGTCAAGATACGGTATTTTGAAGTAATTAGCAATTATAACGTAAAATATTGCTAAAGTTCATTTAAAAAGCTACTGCAAGTATGGCAAGTAGTATATGAATATTCATCAAAAAACGTGTTGGGACCCGAGTTATACCCAGTAGATTAATTATTGCTTGATATGATGGAAAGAAAAGTCAATTTTCGATTGATTTACTCATTATGAGTTTTATTCAACATTCAACATCCGTTTTGATTCAACATGAGGATCATTCAGTGTAGTATTCGATTTGTTCTTCCAGTATGATATTTTCTTCTGTATAATAAACAATATTCTTGTATTCAATTGACATGAACTATGCTCAGTAGATGATTTGTTATAACTGAGTATGTGATTTAATCCTAATTATTAATCAAAATGGGTGTACAATCAATATATAAACCAGCGCATTTTAGACGATATTGATTCGTCGTTGTCATAGTGTTTGAGGCTAATAAATCTTCACTTATACCAGTCTTGTGTTCTTACTTTCGCATCGGGGGAATTACCGTGGTCCCTCATTCCGAGTATAAGTGATCAGCGTTTTTTTCCGGCATAACAAAATGATTTTTGCTACCCTGAAGGACAGTCTGAAAACTATTTGATTAACGAGACTGACGTACATGTTCAGCAGATTTTTTGTTTAAATTATAACTAGAAGGCCATTGCTGTTCTTATCTGACTTCAACCTTGGTTTAACTCTGGGAAATATCAAGTGCTTGCTATTTACATATAGTGAAAAGTTGACGATCTTTCAAAATAGATTAAGTTTCTAAAACCAGAAATATTTTAAGATCAAAATTCAAGGAATCAGACATATGTAGAATAAATCGTGACTTCCAACTTTAGGTGGCTGAAAATGTACCAAAATGGTTTTGAATACGAATAATGCAAATGATCTACAAACCGATGAAAAATACCCACATTCGTCCATTTCCAAACACATTTGAAACTGGTTATAAGGATGATCTTAACTCGGCTTTTAGGGTTTTCAATTAAAATTGTTTAGAACGAATACTGAGGTTTGTTGAAACCTAAACAACATGAAAATCTCCAGCCACCCAGTTCAATGAATGTTCAAAAACCATTTATACTAACATCAAACATGCTCTGCTAATATTAATTTACTATCCAGAGTGATGTGGCTTACATTACTTTTATCAATTACCTTTGTTTTTACTTATTTCCCAATTTATTTAGTCTGACGTTTATATTTTTCAATGATGTTTTATGGACAAGTTTATGCATGATCGAATTGCTGTTCGAAATGTATCACGCTATTTGATTCGTTACATGGTTCTGATAAACTCGTCTTCTAATTGGATTATCTAACCTTTCAAAGAAATCAACAACAGATTGAAAGTTATCAGGCAAATTGATTAGTTTATTAAGTGTTTTCAAAGCAGCTCATAATAATAATATTAAATATTTTAATACCAATAAAAATAATAATAATAATAATAACAGTAGTAATATTCATAATGGTCGGAATAGTAAAATACGTCCGTAACCTTGAAAAAAGACAACTTCATGACGAATGGATAATTAACATAAACCATGACATTAACAACATTGACAGAGCTCTAATCCTTATTCCAATGCCTTTATTTACTGACACACACACACACCCTTATACACTCAAAGTCAATGAATGAAATAAATAACAAATAGAGTAGTCCCACGAAATCAATACTCAACATATAAAGCTGTAATCTATTATTTTGTTGATATTAGATTACTTAGATTTAAGTGTCTGTGTCACTGTTTTTTGATAAACTTACCTCCAGCGTACAGTGTACACGGGTAGGTCTAGGGCATAGAAAGATTGTTTTAAGTAGTTGTGATGACATAATATTACATCAGAGATTGTAGATTAATTAATTCACTGTATATAAACAGTGCCACAACAATTGTAGGGCAGACAATAGTAGGTAGTAATGACGTCAGTAATAATAAAGATAATAATAATAATAATCACCCTTTAAAGCAATACAAATAACAAGCGGTAAAATTTAGATTTAATTTTTATATATAAGAATATAAAATAAAATAAAATATGTTAGTACTATGCGTAAAACAACAGAACAAAATTGAACATTCAAAAAAATTAATAACCATATTGAAACACAGAAAGAATTTATTAAATGATTACACCAACGATAATTTCTTTTTTTAGAAATCAATAATTTACCATTTAGTTGCTATCATGGTTATTGTGTTTGTTGTTGTGCAATTTTAGACTAGTTCCATTCCAATTTATTTGTATAATAATTAGTATATGTGTGCTGATATCATTCGGGTATTAAAAATGAGTTATTATTATTATTATTATTTTGTTTTTAGTATAATGTAGAAGTGGGTATTCGAAATGAATAGTATCAATCGAACTGGATCCCTTAGTATCAAATAACAACAACAACAACAAAATTATTGAAGCATAAGCTATTTCAATAGAAATAATGCGAAAAAGCACCGAAAAGAAATTGAAATAAACTGTTAAGCAATAATAATGCTAATAATAGTAATAATAATGGTAATAATAATAGTAATTATTATTATCAATATTTTAATTACCAATGATCAATGATTATAATAATAATAATAATAATAATAATAAAATGAGAAAAATCAGAAAGGAATACGTCTGATAAAATCCCAGATTCCCTTTCCCCTTCTACAATGAAAACCCAAATGTATATTGTAACAATTGAATATGCTCCAGTTTGTAGCTATTTTTGTTTAGTTTTCAGAAACAGAAACGTCTAAATCTTCATTGATTGGATGCTCCACTGAATATTTCAGTGTTAATTCACGAATTTCACCTAGGCAAAGGAAAAAAAAGTATATGTTGCAGTAAAATATTTTAAAAATCCCAAGAAATAATTGCGTCAAACCCTCTATTTATTTATTTATTTATCCATGTCTTGCCCCATTCATGATTTACAATTCATTTCGTTTCACTTCACAAAAATTTCTGATCTTTAATTACGCTGACAATATTCCTTTTATTACGCATTTTATTCACATACCTTTTATCATTGAGCTGAGTAGGTCAATTAATTTCTGACGGTCATTTGTATTAATGGTTAACTTGAAGGTCTTTGATTTGATTTGTATGAGGAAAACTTGTTTTAATCAGAATCTATAATTTATTGAGAATATAAAAGGCTGAAAATCATAAAACCATGTTAACCATGTCAATTAAAGAATGGGATAGATTGAAATTCATTGATTCATGGGCAGTGTTTTCAAATATCCAACATTCATTACAGCGCACCATACTATTGGGGGACAAAGTCCGACTTGCGATTCCACATAGTGCTCAATGGATAGTGGGTGATCTCTTTCAACATGAACTAACGCAAGCGGCGCGGTGGCGATAGAACCGACCAACCAATCCGCAGTCAGATGGAAATCGGGATAATCACCCACTGTGTGTTAATTTTGATCACATGAGAAGAGAAGTCGACATGAATCGGGAGTGCGATTGAGGCATTGGAGAAACGTTTTCTCTTGGTGTCTGAAAAGACTAGTCTGGAAGGGCCTACGAGGTCTGGTAGGGGAGGGCCAAAGAGTAGGCCATAATCTGTGCCGTAATCAGTGCACACTAGTCGACACTAAGTAGAATTGTGGTAAGAGCGTTAAGTGAGCACATCGTTTATGACGAATTATTTACATACTGATTTGAATACTCGATATTCACTCAGTGAAAATGCTACTGGGCCTAGGGGCCTGGAGCGTCCGTATCTATGCCTATATGTATACTATGGAGTGCATAAACCTAGGCTTATGTATTCTATATGTGCATGTGTCGTACATTCGCGAGTGGAAACTTCTATGTCTATATGTATTTACGGGATGTATGGACTTGTCTGCTTTTTCTATAATCACGTGTAAAGAATAATAGAACCTGCGCCCATCTACACCCATTACTTATATCACTGTAATGTATGCATCTCTGACATCCGCATTTGAATATATATATATATATATATATATATATATATATATATATATATATATATATATATATATATATATATATATATATATATATATATGAGGCATACTTGGGGATAGTTACGACGTTTCTTCACTGGTGATTTATAATTGACATGAATGATCAAAATACATAGTTGATTAGTTTTATAATGGATAAGTTAATATCTATAACGTTCTATTCAGGAAAATTTTACAGAAAGAGACAACAGTTGAAAACTCAACAGTGTAAGTTAGTTTAAAAGATTAACCATCAAAATGTTCACACAACATTTATAGTATTCATATTTCAAATACATTTTTATTACAATTTATCTCAATTACTGATTATTATGTAAAACAAAAGCACCTTTGGTGACTTAATGGTTAAAATATTTAGCATTTAATTTGTATATTGTAAGTTCAAATCACGTCCGATCTAATTCAGGTTAGCAAGTTCATGTGATATCATTAGCTTACACGGAAATGTGTTTCAAAACTGAGTAAATCAGCCATTCAACTAGTAAAATAGCTCTATAATTATTACATATAATAGACGTTTGAGCACGCATCTAGAGTGGATATGATTATTCAGGTTATGTTGCTTAATAAATTTGAATATGATTTAATAAAACCATTGCATAGAGAGAAGTGAATTTAAATGAGCTTAAATGATTAATAATTGTAAATTATCTTTGTATTGGTTAAACGGAAAATATAAAAGATTATTTTGAATGTGGTATTTACAACGATTTGACTTTAGCTGTACAACTACTGGTACTAAACAACAGTGGACAGATGTTACATTCATTTTTGAAACTCCTCACCAGTAATCACTGACATCTTTAAGTTTAATATAAAAACTCTGAGTTGAAATCCAATCGTTCATGGTCTCAGATTCAATCAATTTATGATAAGGAATGATCTTTTTCCAGTGTTATCAATGACTTACTCTCAATTTGTTTAAATCCACAACTTCCATTTCGGAACCTTATGAAGCTTATTATTATTCCCACAACTAACCTCAATTCGTGAAGAAAATTACCCTCAAGTTATACAAAATATCTTTACAAAATCATTTGGGCAAAGAAGATCATTTATAAACACTAGTTCATAAGTTAGATGATTGAAGGTAAATTGGTACGAAATTTTGGAAATATATTTCACGATAATTGTCACTAGTCAGGAAGGCGTATCAGCACTTTTTGGGGGAATTAATATTCTCTGTGAAGTTTGAATCAATTTCATCCAGCTTCCAACCATCTGCATTCAAATGCATAACATTAAAATATAGTGTACGCAATTTCGAGTCACTTAGAATAGTGGCCCAATTAGAATTTGATCAACAGAATTCAATCAACGCCAAAGGGCTACAAAAAAGACATTGTTTACTATTCAATGGTCAATCAATTGTAAACTGGTTCATAACTCACTACGTTGAAATCAGCTGTTAACCTTATCTACTCACGATTTCTGAAAGCCATACTGTATTATGTAACTATGTGATTTTTAATAGTTTATCGATTATTGAACCAACCCTTTGATTAAGGGATTAGAATTCGAATATGTTAACATGAAGTAAAGTATATATTGTAAATAAGAGATTAATTGAAGAAATCTTCTAATCTGAATTTCAATCAAGTTATTAGAAATTCCCAAGTTTGCAATGACATTATTTAAAAAATTAACTCACCTGGACCTAGATCCAAGTCCCATTCAACATTATTGAATTTATTCATTCTGATTGGTCTATTTTTATCATATTTTTCTGGATGTTTAATTGTTGGCTCTAAAAGGCTAACCTAATTAGTGTACAATTAAAATGGGAAATAATTGATATTGTAAAAACAATCTTATTTATTTATTTATTCAATAATATTTTATTACAAAAAAACTCATGTCGTTGACGGGTAATTCTAAAACATATAGTCAACCCTGGTCACGTACTGCTACAAGATTCATTCTTCAATGTTATCTACAAAGTCAAAATAACTTGTTCAAAGAAAGTTCAATTAATAGTATAGGGTTTGTGGAAATTATTAATTCTTTGATTGAGATCATGAACCGATTGATGTTAGACCAGCACCTTTAGAAACCTGGAAGCACTGGACGGCCGTTTCTCAGAGTTCTAGTGAGAAGACGTGACCAGTGGAGATAATCCATGTCGGGTAGAGACAGGTATCTACCTCAGTACAACGGAAGTTGGTCGCGCAATTTCGTAGATTGGTTGATGTTAGACACTATCACTATTGGATGCTGGCTCAGTGGTCCAGTTGGTTAAGCATTCGCACACGAGATTGAAGGCTCTGGGTTCTAATCCCGCGAGTGGGATCGTGGATGCGCACTGCTGAGGAGTCCCACAATAGGACGAAACGGCCGTCCAGTGCTTCCAGGTTTCCAAAGGTGGTAGTCTAACATCAATCGGTTTATGATCTTAATCAAAAACACAGAAAGTTCAGTTTAAAAACTTGTACACTGTTGTAGTTTTGACAAACCATTAATCCATATCTCATCCCTGTGTACAAAAGAGTGTTCAATCGCTTATTCTACGATGATCTTAGTACCCGCTTATAGTTTTTCAATTTGTTAATGTTAATTATTATCTTATTGTTCACGTTTATATTTTTAAAGTTGATAATCATTTTTCGTATTTCTTTTTTTAAAATTATCATTATTTACTACTTCTAAGATTATTACATAACTTGGAAACTATTCCTAATGCAATACCTATGCATTTTTTTATAGATTATCATATTCTATACCAAAAAAAGTTCAGTTACCTTCAATTGATTTTTTCAATGAAATGAAATTCCTCTATTTGATATTAAGCTACCATGTGAAATAATACCATCGAAAAGATAATTTTCTACATTGAAACATCTTTAATCGTGGTATTATTTCATTGGAATCATGAACCGATGAACGCTAGACCACCACTGAAATCCTGGAAACACTGGAGGAGTCCCGCCCTAGGAAAAAACAACAGCCGTCCAGTGCTTCCAGGTTTTCAATGGTGGTTGAGCTTAGATCAACTCATGAATTAAACTATGAAAATGCCAATTTTTTCATATCTACAACCCTAGAACTAGAATGAGAATCAAGACATAGAATCAATGACCCTAGGTAATTGAATTGGGCTATTGGGTTCTTAACTTAAATCCCGCGTGGTGCGGGATCGTGGATGCGCACTGCTGAGGAGTCCCATACCAGGACAAAACGGCCGTCCAGTGCTTCCAGGTTTTCAATGGTGGTCTAGCTTCAACTGACTCATGATTTCAACCTGTGAAAATTTCTAAAACTCTCCACAAAACCCATTCTGATAAAAAAATATACTTTAGGCGTTCAGATTATAGTGCATAGCCAAACTATTGTGAACAATATGACATGAGAAAAAGCCTGAAAGTCGGTCAACACTTTAACTTATTTTATAAAATATATCTACATTATCTCTTTGTTGATAGTCGTTTTTATAACAACTTGAACATTTAAAATGAGACTTACAAGCTGACTTACAACAAGTTATATAAGAGGATAATTTTTAAAATACTGGTTATTTATAGTCATTACAATTAGGAAATGTTCTATCCTAGCTAATCAAGGGAGAACTATTGGATATCATTTTGGATTACAAATTATCATAGTAATGTTTTAAGAAACATGAGTAATAGTTTGGGACGAATTCATTTTCATAACTGTAAATATACAGAACTTCTATTTATACTTCTCTTATCCTCAGTTTGGAGCTCAGGTATATGGGATTTTCTGGGTGGGGCTAGGAAGTGGTAGGAAAGTAGTGTTCAAGTACCAAACATATCACGATCTTTAAAGCTAACATCTTACATTACCCAACTACGATTGTTTTTATCAGTGGTTTTAATAAAATTACTCAAATGATTGATATTTGATAAGGAGTAAGGAAATAAAGTGAATTATTCTGAAAAAAATTAGGAAAAAACAAAACAGGGATCAAAAGCAGAAAGAATTTTATAAGTTAAAAAAGTTAACAATGAAATTCTTACTTTAATTTTATCCTCTGCACTGACTGGAACTTGATCAACAACCATTAAACGTACACGACGATCAAATGTATTACGTACTTCAATTAATTGTTTAAATGTCATTGTAGCATTTTTTCCACTCGAACCGGTACCTTCACGATATTTGAATAATGGGCGATACAGTATTTTTATGCCATTCTCAGCGCCTAAGTGACAATTAAACTCTTCGCCTGGAGCGACAGCACGTATTTCAGACTAAGAAGAAAATTTTAAAGAAGGTTACATTTATTTGCAGAACTCATTTAATCCTAATGAGGTGTAAATGAAACATTTTCAAATAATATAGCTTTATTATGTAAAAAATAACTCTACATATCGATCTTCTGGGCTTATTGACGGTCTCATGGACATGGGGTTAGCAACTCCATCCCACAGAAAACAATCTTGTCAAGAAAAAAAAGCTAACTAGAAAAGTCATTCCAACCATTTAAACTCTGTTCATGGGGTTGGTGAGTCTTCATGTAGTCGAGTTATAACACCTCATGGTCAAAACCGAAATTCTCAGGAAATCACGACACCTATGCACCTTTTAACAGCCAGAGCAACTATTCACATAGGTAAGTGGAATATCCGGACAGTGTTGGAAACTTGGAGGACTATTCAAATAGCTGCAGAAATGAAAAAATACAAACTGTTGGTACTCGAAATAAGTGAAGGCCATTTGGTGGAAGCTGGACAAAAAAGATCAGCTTTGAGAAAAGTTCTGTCGCACTCTAGTCATGAAGAAGATGAAGCTTCGTACACACAAGAAGTTGCACTGACACCCTCCAAAGAAGCACGATAAGCACTTATAGGATAGCAATCTCATGAATCCAGGATCAACAAAGTGTCCTACAAAACAAAGAGGAAGGCTATTATGATGAACGTTATCCAGTGCGATGCACCCACCAATGAAAACAATGAAGATGATTAAGATCAGCTTTACAAGAGGCTGCAGTCGACTGTAGAATAGTGCCCAGGATATGACCTGACCATCCTGATGGAAGACCTAAACTCCAAGGTCGGAATGGACACAATCGGGTATGAAGACATCATGGGACGACATGTATCCGCAGAAAGGAATCAGAGTGGTGAGAGATTTGCAAATCTATGTGTCTTCGACAAAACGGTTACAGATGGCACCACATTCCCGCATAAACGCATACACTAAGTTACATGGGTTTCATGAAGGATGTAGGAAAAAGGCAAGAAACTGATATAGCTCCAGATCAGCACAGTGGTGGCCAAGCTAGACCTGGAACTTAAAAAGTGCTGGACAACTGCACAAACAGCATTACAAATGTCTAATACAACTTTTCTTTCAGATTCTGATAAACTCAATCAATTCAACCCTGTTCAGGAGCATTAGGACTTGCACGCAGAAGTACGTGGAAGACCTAGCAATCAAAGCAGAAAGACTTGCAAGAGAAGGAAATATGAAACAACTTTACATTACAACGAAAAAACTACCTAGGGAATTTGGTGAAAGAGAGAGGCCAGTCAAGAACAAAGAAACCAAGCCAATTACTGGGATCTAAGAGCAGCGGAACAGGTGGCTAGAGCACCTCAAAGAACTCTTGAGTATATCAGCTCCACTGAACACCTTGGACATCGATATACTCCACAGAACTTACTGTAGATGTTATCCCACCAATAATCGGAGAAATTAGCGTATCCATCAGATAAATCAAGAATGGGGAAGCAGCAGGACCAGACAACACACCAGCTGAAGCACTTAAGTCAGACATCGAGGTAACTGCAAAGATGCAAAGATGTTCAGACCAAATCGAAACATTACGGATCATTATTGAGCAATTAGTTGAGTGGAACTCGTCATTATACACCAACCTTCTTGACCGTGAAAAAGCATTTGACAGTGTGGACAGAAGAACATTATGGAACCTTCTTCGACAATATGGTGTGCCTGAGATCGTAACCAGCATATAGAATTCATGCGACGGACTACATCGCAATGTTGTGCATGGAGGATAGCTGACAGGTGCAGTCTAAATGAGGATCCATGTCAAACAAGGCTGTCTACTCTCGCACTTTTACTTTTTTTCTGGTGGTTGATTGGATTATGAAGACCTCCCCATCTCAGGGAAAGCATGAATACAATCGGCGGCTTGGATGAGGCCAGAAGATTTGGACATTGCAGATGGCTTAGCTCTTCTAACCCATGAACAGCAACAAATACAGGCGAAGACAACCAGTGTAGTAGCAGCCTCTTCAGAAGTAGATTTTAAAATTCACAAGGGCAAAAGCAAGATGGTGAAGTACGACATGATGAACACCAATTCATTCATTCATTCATAGTTAGGAGGATCTGATGTACATATGAAGGCACGGATTGGCAAAATAGGAGCAGAATTCCTATGATTGAAGAACATGAGGAACTTAAAAAAACTTACAGTCAACAAAGTCAGTCTTCAGTACAAGTGTCTAGACAGTTCTGTCGTACAGAGCTGAAACTTGAAGAACTACAACCATCATCAAAAGTACGGGTATTTGTAAACAGCTGTCCACTCAAGTTACTACAGATTTGCTTGCTGAGTGTTATCAGCAGCAGTTTACACTGTGGGAGAGAACAACCAGCTTCCAGGTGAGGAGGAAATTAAGAAAAGTTTTTGGAGGCGGATAGGACATACATTAAGGAAATCATAAAACCGCATCTCAAAGACTAAAAGAAACTATAGGAAATAAGACAGAGGGAAGAACACATTGTGGTGGGAATTGGGGGCAGGCATCAGAAGAATGAATATTACTTGACAACAACTGAAATGAAGAATGGAGGACAGAGTCGGTTGGAAAATCCTGGTCGCCAGCCCATGCTTCATCAGGGCTAGCAAGCTTAAGTAGGTAAATAATGTTAAAACTAAAGTTGCCAATTATGGTTTAACCTTTTAATCGTGATGTCCGCTGTCACAACTAGGCGGGTTGTGATCTATGATTGGCATGTAGAATTTCAATATATATCGCATTGATAATTGCACAAGAGTAAGGTGATTTGATTGATGAGCACTTTACAGACAGGTTTGACAACTAGCAAAGTGGCTACTATTCAGTGAGAGCGCTAATTACTACAGTTTCCTGTAAACTTACAGTAGCATATTCCAATGATTTTTGTTTGAATCTTTGGTGAAAAAGAACGCTATCCGCTCGTAAATAGAACAGTAGTAATGGCACCCAGTCATGACTCAAAGTAGTAATTGAAAGATCGACCTATTTTGAAGGTGTATTGTTCTCTGAACTGGATGGTTTAATCGTGAATATTTTATTGTCTCTCTCGATAACATCATCAGTAAAGTGAGTTTTCAGAATTTCGCCACAACTGAATAGCTGTTTATTCTGTTGACTTAGAATTTGGTTACTTGTTGTCCATATATGTTTCACCATTGTTTATGTTTGTTCTGATCATTTTCACCTCCAGACTGGCCTATGACCTTGGAGTTGTTAATCTTTTTTCCACTCGACGAGTATTATTTCATTATTGTAAATCATATATATATATATATATATATATATATATATATATATATATATATTAGTGTAGAGCCATGGTGAAAAACTAATTGAAAAGAAATTTTTTTCGCTCGATTCGTTCATTTTTTCCTTGTGGCTGATAGACCTTGTAAATTCCAATGTCTTCAAGTTCAAAGACGAGGTTGGAGGTGAAAATGATCAAAACAAACACAAACAATGGTCAAACATATATGGACAACAAGTAACCAAATTCTAAGTCAACAGAATAAACAGCTATTCAGTTGTGGCGTAATTCTGAAAACTCACTTTACTGATGATGTTATCGAGAGAGACAATGAAATATTCACGACTAAATCATCCAGGTCAGAGGACAATACACATTCAAAATCCTCATCCTGAGATATAGATATTCTCCACAATCCCAGAATGACCTATGGTATTAGGTCTTCACAATAAAATATATGATATTAGGAATATAATTGATAATATCGATACAAAGATAATAATAAATGACTTACTTTTCCAATAAAAGTATTATCAGCATATATGTTAGTTGGACCAGCCAAGATAGAAAACTCCGTATTGTTCACGGCTGTCGCTTTCAAATAAGCATACAAAGAACGCTTTGGCACAGTTACGTATTCATAACGTGGTTGTAAATCTAACAACCCGACAGTGACACGATTAGGTTCGTTATCACACCGAATTATTGCCGGGGGTCGTGGGACCTCCAGTTGTATCGTTGCAACTGTTCCAACAGGCGGTGCAGATTGTTGTGATGTAGGCAATAGTGCAGGTTGTGAATTCATTAAAGTAGAAATTCGATTTGATAACAAAGGACTCTGAGAAGTGACGGAGTTGAACAACATACTTGATCCTAATGTACGTCTACTGATAGGTCTAGTGCTAGAGGAACGTAATCCAGTTGCATAAGTACTTTCAATACTACCACCACGTTGCAGTGTTCCAGATGGTGTGATACCATCACGCTGAAAACAAAATGAGAAGTATAAAAATTATTGATAATGTATATTACTTTAACATAATATAATGATGTAAACCTAAGTTTGTGAGTCAAGTTGTTTATTAAAAGACAAAAATTCTAAATATTAAGTAACCATAATATTTATTGCATTTAATTACAAACTACGGTCCTAATAACTGATTACTAAAAAACAGCTTGTATTAACCGGTTGATCTACTACGTAAACTTAATGATTACTAGCCTTTCTCTTATAGATTTTGTCAACGTTACTTTTATTTGCAGTTTTATTCGTTGAGGATTAATATAAAAGCTGATACTATTGGAAAAACTGTTCAGTAAAAATTCGTTCATTTCACTTATATTCAAAGCAAATGTTTAACTAAATCATTTTATTACTGTTATCTAAAATGGTAAATATTCATACATCGTGTAAATGTTTAAAAAGATTGGGAATTTCATAATTAAGGTTCATATTATCACGACCATATAAAGTTTTTTAGTCGAATTTTCAATGAGTTTCCACTTAGATACTATATAAAGTGTAAGTAATCGTTGGAAAGAATATTTAAGACCTGGTGTATATAGCATTTCCTTGGAGATAAACATTACAGTAAACTAACATAATATAACTGTCTACTTTATAATAATTCGTCTATTGTATTCAATTGTTTCTTCCCATTCATTCCCATTCAAAATCATTTCAAACAGTTAACTTAATTTTCAGTTTGATTAAAGACTACATAAACATAGTAATTACTTAATGTCCATATCATACAATTTAAATTATATGGTTAAACAAAATGAAGTAACTCGGTAATTATTAGGAGTGCGATAACATGTGAAACATTTATGTAAAAGAAGTTTGTGAAGACTATCGAATTATATAGTTTACATCAAGGATTGAGCTAATTTAGACAATTATGGAAAACTAGGAAGCACTGAACAACACCCAACCAATGTACATACACAAAAGCAACTAGGAATTGAACCCAGAACCTTCAGGTTACGCGGTTAGGACTTAACATTTTGACTACTGTGTTAGTAAATAACTGTTCTCATTTCTAAATTCAATTTACATTCGTTGATCAAATAGACTATGAACCAATAGTAGTGAAGCAGTCATAAAATTGTTGAAATTAAGAAGTAATAAAATCTATGTCTACAGTTTCTTACCAATTACCATCGACCACTCTATATTTTGTTTTGATTTAAATAAAAATTTTACCGTCTATTAAATCTATACTCATTTGAAATAAATTAGCCTTTCATAAAATCAAATTTAAAAAAATAATATGTTCATTCTATTCTATTTTATTGAGATCATGAACTGATCAATATTAGCCTACCACTGAAATCCTGGAAGCAGTGGATGGCCATTTTGTCCTACTATGGAATTCATCATCAGTGTACATCCACGATCCCACACGTGAGACCTTTATTCTCGCGCGAACGCTTAACCTCTAGACCACTGAGCCTACATTTAACGATGTTAATGTCTAAGTTTAAATAATCCATGATATTGCGCATCTTATTCTAGATGTAATCTATTAATAAATCATTCTATTCTTTCAGTCAAATGCGTGAACGATTTATAAGTCAATAACTTGGTAATAATAATGATAATAATAATAGTAAGTGCATTAATCAATCTCTAATACAATAAACGATCTCTGATCAATAATCAATTAAAAAAAAACAATCGAGTAAACACTTAAATGAACCCCTTTTGTCTTTAAATTCAATAAAGAAATCGATTACACATTGACTATCAAATGGAATGAATTGAGCGGGAAATAACTTTGAACAATTAATTAATAATTCAAAGCATAACTATTAGTAATAAAAATACAATAAACACAGAAATGAACCGATATCAAATTTAAAAGTCGACGTTACAATTTAAAATCAAAGAAGAAATGACAATTTAAACAGAATAAGAAAGGTACTGTACAAAATAAATTTAGATAATTTTCAAAGAAATTTAAAATAACCGAATTTATTAACGACACCAACAAAAATATCGTTGCTAACCTCTTGAACTCTTCAAAATATCTTTATTAAACATAGCTTTAGAAATAACCGTACAACCCAATAAATAAACGGTTCATTACATATCAGGGATATATGAGTATGCCGAGATAAATGGTTGAATTTAGAATACCTATATATGTCGGCAGCAAAATTCGATCTAAAATCTCCCCGCGGCGCTGCTGGACAATAGGGGCAACCTTGGTAGTTAGTTTGGGCGGTCGACGGAGATCAGGCTAATTCTTTGTTCTGCTGTAAACCGGATGAACTGGTTCCCTTTTTTTCAGGGCTCGCCAAAAGTTCTACGGGCTTCCCGATGTTTAATGCTTATGTGTATGAATTGCATGAGTTCCGGCTTGTGTGATTTATGTATATTGGTATATCCAAAGGGTACGTGCCTGGGCCGACACGAGGAATGTGAACTAAAAAATGTCTGCCTTATTAATGATAAAAACCAGCAGCCTAATACATGAGGTTAAAACCATAATAAAAAAGTATGGTTACGAATACTAGGGAGAAGTGACCATCAACCCTTCATGAAAGAGTGCTTACGCTTACGTACATGTCATGAAGTGCAAGTGTCAAAGTCATTATACCAGCGATGTACATGTAATGCGTAAGTGACAGTCAGTTGTAGCAAATGCGTTGAAAGAGAGTGATGACCACCTACCCTCCTAGGTTGGTGAATATAAGTATATGTATGTTATGAGATCCAAGAGTGAAAACTTATGTGTTATTGGTATGCATGTAGACGCCCACGAGCCAAGACCTGGGAATGACGATTTCCCCACACAATTACATCCACGCAGTGGATTTCTGAGCCTTGAAAAACTGAGGCCATTTCCAAAAAAACCCAATCGGCTTCATCGGATAAGGCTTGACAAACCTTAAGACGGCTGGAAAACTGTCCCCTTACTCTGTATCATATTTATTGAAACTTCTTTATTTCGAATTCCTTCAAATAACACAAACATTCCGCCATCCGTATTATGAGATCTCGATGAGATCTCCGTACGGAAAAAATATGTCTCGTTTTGGTTGTTATCTTGACCTAAACCCTATGTCATCATTATTTTCATTTTCGATACGATTATATTTGGAAATGACCGCATCTGGTAAAATTATTTCTCATATTCTGTCGATCTTCTCGTTAGTTAATTATTTCCGGTATTATTTCACTTAATTCTCCTTACTATCTCCATGTGTTCAATCATTTGAACAGAAGCACTAATTTTCATGAGATAACATTATTTAAATGATAACGCCTTGTTAGTAAATTAAATTTACACCCCTTTACTGTATTTGCTCATATCCTGTGTCAGTTACTCAGGTTCTGTTAAGACTAGACAAGGGTTGCTAACGAGTGACAACTAGTATGAAATATAGGCCCAGTGTTTTCTGTAAATTAATTTTAATCACATATCATTGAAATATAGTGCACAAGATATCGAATCACCCAGACTGTTGGTCACACTGAAATTTGATTAGCACTAAAGTATGAAAAGCATGAAATTGGTTACCAAACAGTAAACTGTACTTATTTTAGCATTTATAACCAAAATATTATTATGAAAAGAACCTTTATGTATTGAATATAAATGTCAGCTTTCCAAATAGTTCATGATTTAAATAGATTTAGCGACAGAAAAAAGGCACTTCGTAGATCAATGTCTAAATATAAAAATATTAAATCTTACTTAATCAGACATATACATCATACATCGTTTAACGGTATGAATAAAGTATGTGGTAGGTTAAATTAATCATAGTCAGTTTATAAATAAATGTTAATGTGTAATAAATTAATTTTATTAATTATTACTAAAGATTAAATTAACTTCAGTTTGGCATGCTTTCCTTGACTAATGAAAAATTGAATTCACGAGTCTATCTAAGCTAGATCACCATTGAAAACCTGGAAGCACTGGACGGACAATGCTTCCTAGTTTGGGGTTCCTCAGCAGTGCGCATCCACGACCCTGCACGTGAAACTCCAATCCACAACCTTCCGTCTCACGCTTAACCTCTAGACCATTGAGCTGGCATCCAACGGTGGTAATGTCTAACTTCGGTCAATCCATGGTCTTGCGCAACCCTTCATCCATTGCCTCACACCCGACACAGATTGAACTTCATTCGTCACGAATTTGCACTAGAACTTCAGGATATCTATCTTGAAGATAATCACTAATGAGTACATGACTATTATCAGCGTGGGGATTCATGGGAATTGTGGCATTTTCACAGTTGAACTCATGAGCCGATCATAGATGCGCACTGTCGAGGAGTCTCATACTAAAACGAAACAGCCGTCCAGTGCTTCCATGTTTCCAATGGTTGTCTAGATTACATCAACTCGTGAATTCAACTTTGAAAATACCACTATCTTCACAAATTCCCATAACGAAAATGAAAAATTAATGATTGAATTTCAATGATTATTTTAAGTTACATCATTTCGATTAGGTCATCAGGAGTCATAGAAGAAATTTCATTTCTCTTATATAATCTTACATCTTATGGGTTTGTTTTGTTTAGAAAACATTTGCGTTAACTGAAAGGATAATAATTGAAATTTTCAACCTTTAAACAGTGCAGTTGCAGGTCTGGACTTAGCTTTACCTAATTCAATATAAACAGCTAAGTAATATTAGCTAACTATTACACATAAAAAGTGTAATTCGAATGGAAGTACACAAAATTGTTTTATACTTGACAAATCAGTAATATTATCATTATTTCCACTTATAGCTTGGTATTATTTCAATTTAATGTTCGAAACTTTAAAATAGTTTATTGACACACAATCTGACCCAAACAATGAGCTACAATTGGACAAATAACATCAACCAATGTATATAATACAATTCTATATAAACTACACATGTTTATAATTTTCTCACTCTGAAAGAGTAACTAACAAACATTCATCAAAAAAACACAATTATCACATTATATAATGTAACAGTGTACAAGATCTGCACACCTGAGTTATAGTACGTATTGTTTCACGTGATTTCGATCTTGGATGTAGTTTATTTCGACGACCAAGCGATGAATGCAACGTAGTTGATGCCATACTATCACTTCGTCCAAGTGTAGAGCAATATTCAGTTGAATTGTCATAATATGCAGAAAGACGATCAGTCATTTCATATGAAATAGTATCAGTTAATCCACGCGTAAAATCGGAACGTTGCAATGGAGGTGTTTGATAAAATACAGCTGCATTGGCAGAAATACGTTTAGAATAAGAAGGAATTGTACCAGCAGATGGTAGTCGAGATGTTTTTTCATTTAAATTAGATTTGTCTATACTTTGTAACTGACGACTAGAATCAGGCGATATGCTAATATGATGTAAAAAGACATACAGATGAGCATTGATGAACATCACCCGAATACGAAAATGTAGAAGTACAACAAGAAGAAGAAGAAGAATTATGATGATGATGACAATGTGGAACAAAACGGTGTTAGGAAAGAAGGTAAGTTATTAAAAATAGAATGTTATATTTTAGATGTAAACAAAATTATCGCCCTTTCTGTTGGGAAAAAAATGAGTGTTACTTCCTGACTTAGATTTGTAAAGGATTAGAAAGTGGCAATATGCAATCTTACAGAGGTTCACGTGCATATACAAACACACTTTGTAATGCAAAATTAACAAATCATATAACACCATTTAAAATAAAGCATTAAATTTAATTTTTCCCAAGAAAAATTCGATAGAAATCAGGTAAAGCAGAATAACACGGTTAAGGTATACTTTTTAGTTAAACAGCTTCAGTAATTAAGACTTGAATTATTTATGTTAAAAAAGTACGAACAAATGCATGATAAAAGAGAGGTGTCAATTTTGTTAAACTATTCTTCTTTACACACACACACGCACACAAACACATAAGCAATGGTTAAGATATTTAACGATTTCATTAAAACGAATTCAGAACCTAAATTATGTAATTAATCTGTCGCCTTAATTTATTCTCTTCCTTCAATAATACAAAAATCACTTTGTATTTTATTGATAGGAAAACAAACTAAGGAAAAAGAATCAATAATTTTACCTCATTATCCATAGATCCAACACGATCGCTTTCATTTAAATTTGTTCCTGGTGTTCGATTAGATCGTTTAAATGCACCTAGTTTAGTGCATGATCGAGTATTTTTTCCTGTAGCAGATGCACCAGAGATTTGGTGTCCTGTTGATGCTGGTAATGTTGTTGTTGATGTCATTCCACTGGAATTGTAGCCTGTTGTTACACTTGTGGATGATATAGCACTGCGTGATATAGGGATTGCTGGAGAATGACTATATGTATATATGTATATACAATGAATGGAATTATCAAAAGAGTTGTGTAACAAAACATGAGCTATATTTGATTTAAAATTTATATCATGCATGCATAGACTATGAAGTGTTAAAGATTAGACTTAATAATAGTACATACCTAGATGTACTTTCTTACTGATTTTAATTAAATTTACATTTGACAGAAATCTCAGCTGTTAAACTAAATTTGTTGTTAAGTTATGGTAATATACACTGCTCATTAAGAGAAGATGAACATAGACAACTTACATGTAATGAGTTAAAATACAAGTTATGTAAGCAATAGAGTGAAAAAACCGCATTTATTACTAATTAATTGCGTTTAAATGACTCATGAAGTAGGCTAATATCAGTATAGGCTAAAATTTAGTGATTGACCTGGATTTTTTGTTTTATTAGCAGATGAAGCTAACTTCTGTCATTGAAAGGTGTTAAGTTTTATTAATAATATATCTGAACCGAAATTTTTTTGAAACTTGGTTTATTTTGTAAGTTGCGTTCGTCACAGATTGTTTTCTAGTAGGGTACCGTTGGAAACTATGGAACACTGAACAGGCTCTTCGACATTGTGCGTGACCCCTTAATAGTGGGTATCGAAGCCATAAAAGTTCGAATTTGGGACTGATATGTGGCCTTTGCAAGTTTCGTTTTCGTACTAATTGGTTTCTGAATTTTTCTTGGGATTATTATTCTTCATAGACTGATTTTTGCTCACGGCGCCAGGTCGTAACTTTTCAATAAAGTTAGTGATTTAGATGATGTTAATTACCAATTTATATCTAGAGTATTTATTTCATTTCTTTCGTTGAATAAACAGTTATTCCTCCCTAAAGTTTTCAAAAGTATCTAATATATTAGCTAAACAAGTTACTATACATAGAACTATGACTAGAATCGCAGATGTTTTAATATGGGTGAAGCTTTCCAAATAAATCTAAGGTTTTCAATTTTAAAAAGCAAACAAATTATTACAGGATGAATGATCACTAGTTCCTTGAGTGTTTTGTGGTATAGTTATGAAATCGTATTTAAAGCGTATTAGTTCCGTCACAGTCTGACGCTATAGTTTTCTCTTTTAAAAAGCAATAGGTGCAAATTAATACAAATACTCCAGGCTACTCACAAGTAGTTAAAGGCGTAATGCAACAAAAAGGTTATGCAATGAAGCGGATGTTAGCGTGCATGGAATATGGTTATGATTAATTTGAATGTAAGTTTCCAAGAGTTCCAATAATTATTAGAATATATACGTTAACAAATCATGCGTTTTTCTCAACACCGAAAAGAAAACATGAATAAGAAACACCGACCATGATGTGACATTCAACACAAAACTATAGGTACACCAAAATAATATTTATATTTAGAAAAGAACTGTACTTACTCTCTACGAAAATGTACTCGTTGTACGCCTAAATGTGGAACTGTACCACCTATACCGGGTTGTGCAGTCGATAAAGTCATATAACGCGTTTCCCAATCTTCACCAGTAGCTTGTTGAACCATACCATAATAAACTATCTGTAATAATTATAAATAATTTATAAATATTAAACGTGAAACTGTTATTCAGTTATTGGTATATTCGGACTGTGGTATCCATGTTTGCACATATAATTCTATTTATAATTGGTTTGTTGATTTTGTTTATAGATAAACATAAACACTTGTATACATTTAGACTGGTCAATTGTGTAACTGACATGATGATGTGTAATAATACTGTTACATATAAAGTTAGTTAAGACAACAGGAATTTCAACAAATTTTCGACGTGACATTCATATATTACAGCAAATTATGGGGAAATTAGATAAGTTCATTGATAGAATAGTAAATTATGAGCTGCTATTCATAAACAGTGAATAGTTACTACCTAGATTGATTCATAAATGTTCACGATCAGTACAGCTGCCATATAGCTCTTTCTAGCCTAATATGTTTATTTCATAAATCTGAAGGTAATAACCTCCCAATTCTCTGATGGGCAGAGGAGAAGGAAGATATTTGAGTCACGGCGGTAGTAACCCTTGAAACTCTCAGTAACTAGATCTTCAATAACTTTTTAATGAATGTGCGCAAGTGATTAGCAGACAAAATCGCTTTCGTGAAGATGTCTAACAGGGGAATAGTTCTGACAGTAAATGTGCTTTTGAGAAAATGATGTCCCCGAAGTTTAAGCTGGTATTCACATTTATTTGGGAAACTCGAATTATTGTTGTAGACAATATCACTGATTTCTACTTTAATTATAAGTGAGGCTTTTATAAAAACCTGTAAATTTTGAAATTCAGATATACAGAATATTTCAAATCTAGAAACTAATGATCAAAATAAAAGTGGAATACTGAACTGTGGCTATCAGGCGGATCCGTGACACCCGTTTCGCCATTTCTGAAATTTGTCAGCTAGATGTACCTGCATCACACAGTTTTGATATATGTAGTCAAACTCAAATTTAGTGCCTTTTGATTCGAACGCCAAAGGCTTAAATACATCAAGCTACTGAGTCTAGATAGCCTCAAATTATTCAATAAGTATGTTGTTCACATCATTATTAGTAAGGGTTTCAATAATCTAGCTCCTGATGTGTCCCAAACAGGATGTAACTCACATTCTGGATTTCACCACTAAGTACAATCCATCTGTTTTGTAAGACGTATGATGAAAGTGATTATATTGAAACACTTTGCATAACATGCATATATATATAAACAAAAACTGATCAAAATTCAATCCTGAATCTTAACAATAGGATAACTCAAACCGTTACTAATGATGGTATGGAAATAAAATTAGTTTTTAGAAATCGAAAAGATAAAAACCCGTTAGTTTATAACAGAAAACTATTCAAGAGGTGAGTTGAGCTAAAAACGAAAACCCACTAAAGATGTCTAATCTATCAATAATGATTTATAGGCATACTCAGCATAACATTTCCAAGGATTAGTTGTTCCTATTTTCTTGTCTTTTTTATAATCAGTAAAGTTATAATGATGATTATGCTAATCAATGCACTAAGAATCCAAGTTTTGTTAACGATTAACCTAAAATCGATAAATACATAGCATTCAGTCAACAATGACAGTTAATAGATGATCATATATCATTCAACGGTGCATTATGGATTAGTTTTTAACAATCAGAACATAACATGTGATCTTCATGAACAGTTTATCCGTTTCCCTGCACTCCATATATTATCTACAATGATAAAATGTGGATGAATGTGGCTGTAACATTAATAACGATGAATTAAAGTTTTTGAAATACAAGAGTAGATCTGTAGCACCTAATAAACACATTTTTTGAATCATTAATATATGAAATATAATTTTTAACATAAATCATAATGACATTTTGTATTACGCAAACTGCTGAATTAGCAGAACTAGATGGTTTAACTGAGAAGCTTTCATCATTGTTCTAGACAATATTATTCATATTTACTTCATGCAGAGGTAAACTTTCTAGTTACTTCACTACTGAGGAGCCCTGTACTAGGAAGAAACAAACGTCTAACGCTTCCAGGTTTTCAATGATCGTCTAGCTTAGATCGACTGGTGGATTCAACTGTTAATATTGCGTAAGTGTGAAATCATTTCGTTTTGATGATCTTGTCTCATTTCTACATAAAAATGAACAATGATGATGTTCTTCTGTATGGTAATGAAAGCATTAAAACTGAATTATCTAGATTAGAAAACTCAGCAATACCACAAGTAATCACCTGAATTCCAGGTCTTCTGTATCATTTTTAATAAATGAAATTATCTGAAAGTTTATTATCACAGTATTAATTACATTTGTTAAGGCTGTTTCATCAACATTATAAAATATTGAAAATGCTCAACAGGAAACACTTTATTCAAAGTACTTTTTTCTACAATTAATTAGCACTGAGATATTCGAATCTATATGGATCTTTGGATTGTGGCTAGATTCAGTTTCCTAAACCCTAGGCTAAATCTACACAGTAACTTGAGCACAAGAGAAAAGGCGAGAAATATACGAGAAATGCTTTACTCCAAGGTTCGTTTATGTACAGAAAACCTAGGCCTTTGGCTTCCGGAAAATTCTAGAACGCTACTAAACATAGTAGCAGTATAAGTAATCATCCAATCAGAAACGCGACATGTGACTTTTCACTGTCTACATGTTTCTGGCAAAACATCTATTGAATACTGATTGGATAACATGTTTCTCAGCGTTTTCAGAGCACCTTTCGTTTTCTTTTTGAGGAATTTTCTGGATCTCCCCAACGATATTAACAATCAGCAAGTTATAAATTTCACAGATCAACATGCCATACACGAAGTATTTCGGTCTTGAGCTCAGTCTAGATCATGGAGTCAAACAATTATGCTTTATATGGTAGTTGATATTCAATCTATATGGTCACCAGTGATGTGAATTTACGTTATTATAACCAATTACCCGAAGCTAACTATTGTTATCCCTCGTACTAAATCAATTACAAATCAAATCTGTATAAAAATTCTTTGTATTTGATAATTGATGATTGGAAAATTACAGTAGGATGTAGTAACCTGAAAGTCAACCGTAAAGATTATCCCCAAGTTGGATGAAAATGATAGTCTACCAGAGATTCAAACGTTAAATGAAAAAAAAGATTAATGCCTCATTCAGTGACTTCCCTGTTGGTTTAATCATGTCAAGAAATTATCCTTCAGATTGATTACAAATATATCTAACTTGGATTTTGAAAAATGACAGTTTTCATAAGATTTACAATATCTTGATACTATTTTTAGTTTTAAAAAAACTAATCTTATCAGGCATTCCAGCATATTCTAGTTTCAGTTTAAAGCTGTTTCACTATATTATTTATTGAGTTTAAAAAAACTGTTTCCAGTGTGTAGTAGTATCACTATTCTTTTATTCTATTTGGTTTCTACAATCCAGCACACAAACACATAAATATGACAAGATAAAAAACTATTTTATCTCTATACAAGAAACTATGACATGATAACAATAATAATGAAATATTGACTAGTGACTATATTCGAGACAGAATTCGTGAATTTCAAATGCGAAACAGACATTTAATAAGTCCAATATTAAGATCATGAACCGATCAATATTAGACCATCAATGAAAATCGGCGAGCACTGGACGGCCGTTTCGTCTTAGTATGGAACTCCTAAGCAGTGCACATCCATGATCTTGCACGCGGGACTCCAACTTAAGACCTTTGGTGTCGTGCGCACCTCTGGGAAGTCCCATACTAAGATGAAATGGTCGTCCAATGCTTCCAGGTTTTCAATTGTGGTCTAACATTGATCAACTCATGATCTCAATCACAAGTCAACAATCTCCACAAACCTATACTGATAAGTCCAATATGGTTATATCAGGAAATGCAGACACACACATACAAACATGTAAATAAGCAAACAAACACACGATTTGTTACAAAAGTCGAAATTCATTAATCAAAACTTAAAAGCCATGATGAAGTTAACACTTTTGATAATTTTAATAATAAAGAATTAGAAGTTTACAAAAACCTTCAGAATCTAACTGTGGGTTTATTTTTTCTTTTCACTTAAGAAAAATAAAGTTTGTGGTCATTTTCTGTTTTTCAGTAAGAGGAGTAAATTGGCCTTGTCAAGAGTATTTTTTCACTCTTTACCATCCTTTATTCAACTGTAAACAGTATGATATGTATTGAAGTGGTGAAATCAGATCATACATTCCTTGTTGCTTACTACTGAATATTTGAAACTACCTATAGATTGATGATGAAATAATTGTCGATTAATGGAACAGTTAGGGATCGCTAGCAATCCTCACTGACGAAACCACCAAAGACCGAACTCTGGATTTTCAGATCTGTGGGGGTGAAGCTCTAACATTTAGAATCTTGAGTACTCATTTAATGGTTTATACTTAGTTTCGATCGATCCAATGGTACAATTTTGATTTTAATAAATTTGCAATATTGTACAACGAACGTATAGTGAGAGTTCATTAGTCTACGCACTGCTTAGAAATTCAACACCAAAACACAACAGTGCTCCTATAACCAGATGAATGAAGCATTTACGATATAAATGATCGTAATTTTTAAGGGTACACATGCACACACAAATACTAGTAATGTGGTGTGAGCTACTTATATTCACATAAGTAGTATATAACGATGGTCGGGAATAGAATGTATTTCAGTAGAAGATCGAGGAGGAAAGAACAAGAACAGGAAGCACTTGGTATGAAAATGTATAAACAATGAAATCTAAGACAATGGACTGATATTTGCAGAAGGAACAGTCAAGTTTGAGACGATGGATTGATATTTTGCAAATTAACTATTTACTATACGGTTCTCAGATTTTAGTGAGATGTTCTATAATTTCATGCTCAAATACTTTTGGTTATCATCACTACAGTAACAGTTAACACTATATGAAGATTATTTTCACTGTGAACTGATATCACTAGATAACTGTTGAAAATTGAAATGCTCTGAACAATATATGATTATTAGTTAGGGTTGTTGATAATTACGAAAAACTTCTGATCAATCTCTGTCGGTATGTATGCATCTTATGTTGATTTTTCTTGATATAACCATTTTTTTAAAAAGTATTATACAGTAAATGAAATATTGCTAACAGTTTCGTCTTATCCATCGACCAACCTATTGTCTTAATTCGTCACTGACTGATCATAGTTAGGATACCATTGAAAATCTGAAAGGATTAAACAGTTATTTCATCCTAGTATAGGATGGGTGAATTTCAGACATATTGAAAGTGACAACATCAACTTAATCAAAGTTAGTGTTCACTTTCAACTAGACTTTTTTCTATCAGAAAAAGACAAACAAAATATGTTTACTTTTTGTATTCTTCACTGGAGTTTATTGATTTTTAGTGTACTTCTAAAAAAAATGAGTGCAATGATTATACAATATAAAAGAGGAACGATATCTTTTAAACGATTATTATCATTTGGATGATGGTCACAGTCAACATTATTTCTATTATGAAATTATAATTGGAAATGAAATGAATTATTGTCAATTAAGTAAATTAAACAAAGGAAATTAACTTTGAAAGTTTAGTGAATTAAGATTTAATTAAGTGACATACTCCTTTTAACAATAGTTTGTAGTGGCTGATATTATGTCAATCACATTAGATTTATCTAGTTTCTGGCCAGATTAATTTATCCATTCTTCTCAAGCCATACTTTTATCTTGATTATTAGCTTATTAACCCTGACTATTTTTATATGATTGTATGTGACGTTAGCTGCTCACCCTATTCATCACGTGTCTGTAACTCATTTTTGGTCAAATCGAATTGGCTCACTCGCCTTCTCCGCTGCATGTGTCACTTCATTTCGTTTCGCTTCGTTTCTCTGATTGTCTGTCTGGATCAATAGGTGTATGAAACATACGTATTCTAAATTCATTCTCATATTTGGCTTATTTTATTCCGTTATTTTCTAACGCGAATTAAGTCGATATAAATATATGACAACTGACAACATGTATATTTCGATAACAGTTGGCATAAGATTTAACTGGAGTCAGATACAAGGGTTATAAAAAGTTATTAAATTCTTATTCATTTATAATAATATGAAAAAGAACTTACTTTCATTGTTCCATCATTGTTAAAAATACGAATATCATAAGCTGGTTTCCATCCACAACGATTTACCACATAAGAAACAAGCATTTCAACTTGACCTGTTTCTCTTGGTTCAACAAGTACACTTAATTCTCTATTGACAAAATTGAGAAAAAAAGTAAAGAATAAAACAGTAACGGTCAAATTATATATATATATATATATAAATCCATCTCATTCGTTGTTTTACTATACATAGAAAATACTTGCCAAGGAGATAGTAAGCTTTAAAGAAGAAAATAAAGCTTTTCTTTTGAAAAAATGGAAAGATGATTGATTGATTAATTTAACTTTATAGTATAGGAAATTTGAAGTTTTCTATCACAAATAACTAATGAAAACTAGAAACTAGTGGACATAATATACTCACTAATGCCATCTTTCAAGAGGTAATTCTTAGTGTTCTAGTAAGAGGCCATGACAAATGGACTTTAACCGTATTGTACGCAAAGCATTTACTCCACCCAATGATACTGAAAAATGGGTTATGCAATATCACGAACTGATTGAAGTTAGACATGCTAACTATCAGATTCCAATTCAATGGTCTAAAGGTTAAGACCTGTCTAAAGATCATGTTCTTCGTTCAATCCCTGATAGGGTCATGGATAAACACTACTGAGGAAACTCATACTAAGATGAAATGGTTGTTCAATGCTTCTTGGTCTTCAATGATTGCCTGACATATATAAGTCCATGATGTGAACTGTAAATATAAGTAATATTCGCAGACTCTCTATTACTAACAAGTTAATTTTCATCATAGACATAAAGTCATCTAAAGTATCCATTAAAAATTGGGAAACACTGGATAGTAGCATTGATTCGCCGTTGTTTTTGAAATTCTTAACCAGTAAAGAAAAACACAAACTCAACGGATTTAAATCAAACACCTATAGATTAATTAGCAAAGGTGGATGATGACTAGCAGTGGAATCTAGGACGCACGTTTCGTCCTATTTGAGACTCGTCAGCTAGACGTACCTGAATTTAAACTTATTGACGAACATGGTACGTTTTTTCTGAAACTAGGTAAAAAATGATGGTGAAACTATCATTTAATATCATTAGTAAAAACTACTGATTTATTTTTAAAAGTGGTGAAATGAGTAGATCATCAACTTTTGGTAGAATGATCATATGTTCACTAGTGACTAGAGTAGAGATGAAATTCTGGAGCTAAAAATAAGAATTTCCGACTGATTTAGTCTTCCATATCGAGAGACAAACATCACCGATGTGATCATATAACCAACGTTAAACATTGTGAATAATTAGTCGAAATCGAAAGTGATAATCTTAAGAATCGAATGGTATTCGTTCTTTTCTATCTAGAACTAAGGGTTCTCATAGGAAAGGAGTCCAAAAGTGGAACACAACAATAGTCCAAGGATAAATCTCTTTAAACCTATCATTTAGTGATTAAACTTTATTTCAACGTCATCTACATTTCATCCAATATTTCTAATAAATGTCAGTTAATCAAAAGTAATGAACAATTTTCACCGGTAACTAAAATCTATGACATTATTGCAGTGTTTATTTAATGTGTCCTCATCAGAATATTACAGAAATGGAACGATATACGTCATTAGTTTCTGTATCATACCTGCAGTATTACAAGCTATTCTGTTTTGTAAACAATAGAAGAGTAAGTCACAGTAAAAATTTCGCTTATTACATCAAATTTCAACTACCTTGAACAATAGGCGTAGGGAATTTCATATCTAATTGCTTGGCTCCGAAAGAAAAAAAGATCAAATGTTGACTAGAAAACTGAATTGAATCCAAGAAAAAATAAGATAAAATGAGCTAGCTTTTATTGTCCAAATATAATGTACATATGTTTACAATATTTTTATAAACCCTCCAAGAAAATAGCATCAACGAACTAATAACAACATATGTCTGACTGCGGACAAACAAATACATAGTACGGGAAACTCTTTGAGGTTGTTACATAGAAAAACTGTGATGTGTGGTGTTCATGAAGTAGGTATGTGAAATATATTGTTTTTTTTAAACAATATCTTAAATTCAGGTCATTATCTAAAATACTTCGAGACTGATAGGTCCTGGGTTCGAATCTCACGGGGTGGGATCGTGAATGAGCACTGGTGAGGAGTCCCACAATGGAACGAAATGGCCATCCAGCGCTTCCAGGTTTTCCATGGTGGTCTAGCTTCAAATGACTCATAATCTCAACTATTAAAATTAAAATACCTCTGCTTATTTTTTATACAAAGTGTCCATATATAAAATGTTATACACATAACATTTTGTTGTTGTAGGCTAATCAGCAATCGGCCAAATAAGTGTGTATGATTGGCCAAGAAGTGCCTACCATTTCTAAGGGACGATGGCTTATTTTCTTTAAGAGATAGGAGTGTACATATAAATGAATATATACATATACGGATTAATTCACCCATAAAAACTTCCGTCTCACTCTTCGTCTTCTTACTTGAGTAGATGGTGGGGCTCGTGTATCGAAATCGGACACTGAACAACACAACACAATTATTGAAAACAGAAACCACAGCGAATGCATCAGCAAAAAAGAAACAATTGAAAAATGGATTGAGAAAAAGCCACACTAGTCACCATGGCTTACATAGACGGAGGGGATAACAAACCTCGACATTAACTCAAGAACCTGATTAGTTGCTTGTATTCGTGAAGGGTTTTTTTACAATTTGCTGGAAAGAATCTGTCTGCGTTTGATTGAAAATTTCTTAGTGTTACAGAAGAATCACGTTTATACTAAACTTGATTGAAAATTGCGTACATTATTTACTGTTAAGTATTCAAAAATATCAATAACGTCAATTATCGTAATGTACATGATATTTCCACATTAATGCGTAATTGCTAAGGATAAAGCTATATCGGGCTTACAATCAGACAGTTTTACTTCCTTCCATGGTTTTCAGAGGGTCTGACAATAGTCATACACAGATCTGTTTCACCACATTTAGTGGATAGTAGTTATGAGCAAGACAGAATCAAAGTATTCAAAGTGATTTATCAAATATCACCAAATTTTCAGAGTGGTGTTTACTTTATCTTACATATGGTGGAAGCTAATATAGATTTTAAACTGATAACCATAGACCTTGTATTCAGAAAATGTTTATGATATCTCTGTCGTTCCTACTTTGGATAGAAATTATTTCCTTTCAACTATTATTTTAGAAAGTTTGTTTTTTAAAGCACTAACCTACCACCTATGTCAACATATTATCCCTATCACTAACAATACACTTATCGTTTTAAAATTAGTTTGTACTTCGTACTTATTAAGATTACTTATGTAATCCTTTGTTTTATTGTTATCACTGGCTCATAAACTGTCTTGATTAGTCCAAATTCTTTTCTTACATACATAGCTGATGAAGACTTGACTGAAAATAACATTATTTGATTATATGTGTTATTCTAATGGTTAAATAGCTGTGCCTACAACGATACAGTTATTTCATACAAAAAATCTTTGTTATTTCATTAGTTAATAGGAGCATTTTACTGTTTCTTTTTTGTGCGTGTATTTAATACTAGTTAAATAGAATGGACAAGACTTATAGCACGAATACATAGTCACAATCAACTGCTCAATTTCTTTTATTCCTCCATTATTTTATAATCGTATAGGTATACTTACTTATTATTGTACCGGAGAAAAGATGACAAACGTTCAACATGTAAAAAGCTTAAACACACAAATAAACATACATACGTATACGGAACTACACAACAAGAAACATTCAATCAAACTATATATATTTCTACTCTGTCATAGAATGAACAAAGCAAACGACCATTTTGCTCCTTCCGATATTGATTCATTTGAATAAACTAATTCAATAGATAATTTCTACTGATGGTATAAATATGTTAGTTAATTCATTTCTTTCCTAAATATGAATATTCCTCTGGGCAATATGTACGTATGTATTTACATAGAGTGTTTATAGGAAAAATGAAAATATCTTTTGAAAAGAATGTTCAACTTTGTAAACAAATCAATGGTTGAATTAGATGTTGCTGTTATTTACCCTAATTATTGGCCAATCAGATCTAAGTATCATTTTAAGACAAGCATAATCAATAATCCTAATGAGTACGCTACTCCAATTTATCAACGCTACTTATCTAAAAAAAAGGATACACGGACAGCTGAGATGGAATCAGACTAGCAAATGACAGAAGTTAATAAAAGAGAACAGTTAAATGAAAAGACAGATAGTCGGGATGCTTAAAGTTTATCCGAGTGAGATTAGTATTGATGTGTAGTAATTGTACTCGTAAAGTGATAAATGACAATGATAATTTAATTTCATCTAAATTACCATTTTATTTCTTCGTTTATTAATGAGTTCTATATTGTACCGAAATATTATATTGAATAAAGCCATTAATAATAATTATAATGCACCATTTTTTTATGATTTTTAGGAATAAATATTCAATAATTTGTCAGTTTAGACATTCATCATTCCACCTAATATCTAGTTTCTGATATGGTAAACCAATTAGAAGTAGACTAATGAGGAGATCAATCGATGGCAATCAGAAGTTATCCAGAGGACAAGTGGATTTCATTGGCCTAAAACTGGATCAATTCCCTAAGGGTTAGAGTGGTAGCTAAATATACTTTCTCGCTCACTCTTGTATACCCGCTTAAGTAGTCAACTGAGGGGTTAGCAAGTATCAGTTTGCCGACACCGCTCGTTGCAACAGTCTCAATGTTCAATAAGATATGAAAATACGTCTATATTTAATTTACTATTATTTAAATTAAGAAATAAACAAAAAATAAACAAATGTCGAACATCCAGATATGAATAATCATACTGATTTATCTATACCTAAAAATATTGAGAGAAAAAAATAGTAGTCTAGATGTTTTGAATAATTTTCAATTAATCGATAAGAAATTCCAGACCCTTGATGGTAAATGATGTTTAAACTGGTCGATAGTGGGTTAACATTTGATTTATCTAAATAATTAGAATTAATTATCTTTCAACTGGGATTAGCCACATTTGCTGTTTCAAAAATATTTCCGATGGCTTTGTTAGCCAGTCATAAGCA